GGGCAGTGAGGTGCAGCGAGGGGCAGTGAGGTGCAGCGAGGGGCAGTGAGGTGCAGCGAGGGGCAGTGAGGTGCAGCGAGGGGCAGTGAGGTGCAGCGAGGGGCAGTGAGGTGCAGCGAGGGGCAGTGAGGTGCAGCGAGGGGCAGTGAGGTGCAGCGAGGGGCAGTGAGGTGCAGCGAGGGGCAGTGAGGTGCAGCGAGGGGCAGTGAGGTGCAGCGAGGGGCAGTGAGGTGCAGCGAGGGGCAGTGAGGTGCAGCGAGGGGCAGTGAGGTGCAGCGAGGGGCAGTGAGGTGCAGCGAGGGGCAGTGAGGTGCAGCGAGGGGCAGTGAGGTGCAGCGAGGGGCAGTGAGGTGCAGCGAGGGGCAGTGAGGTGCAGCGAGGGGCAGTGAGGTGCAGCGAGGGGCAGTGAGGTGCAGCGAGGGGCAGTGAGGTGCAGCGAGGGGCAGTGAGGTGCAGCGAGGGGCAGTGAGGTGCAGCGAGGGGCAGTGAGGTGCAGCGAGGGGCAGTGAGGTGCAGCGAGGGGCAGTGAGGTGCAGCGAGGGGCAGTGAGGTGCAGCGAGGGGCAGTGAGGTGCAGCGAGGGGCAGTGAGGTGCAGCGAGGGGCAGTGAGGTGCAGCGAGGGGCAGTGAGGTGCAGCGAGGGGCAGTGAGGTGCAGCGAGGGGCAGTGAGGTGCAGCGAGGGGCAGTGAGGTGCAGCGAGGGGCAGTGAGGTGCAGCGAGGGGCAGTGAGGTGCAGCGAGGGGCAGTGAGGTGCAGCGAGGGGCAGTGAGGTGCAGCGAGGGGCAGTGAGGTGCAGCGAGGGGCAGTGAGGTGCAGCGAGGGGCAGTGAGGTGCAGCGAGGGGCAGTGAGGTGCAGCGAGGGGCAGTGAGGTGCAGCGAGGGGCAGTGAGGTGCAGCGAGGGGCAGTGAGGTGCAGCGAGGGGCAGTGAGGTGCAGCGAGGGGCAGTGAGGTGCAGCGAGGGGCAGTGAGGTGCAGCGAGGGGCAGTGAGGTGCAGCGAGGGGCAGTGAGGTGCAGCGAGGGGCAGTGAGGTGCAGCGAGGGGCAGTGAGGTGCAGCGAGGGGCAGTGAGGTGCAGCGAGGGGCAGTGAGGTGCAGCGAGGGGCAGTGAGGTGCAGCGAGGGGCAGTGAGGTGCAGCGAGGGGCAGTGAGGTGCAGCGAGGGGCAGTGAGGTGCAGCGAGGGGCAGTGAGGTGCAGCGAGGGGCAGTGAGGTGCAGCGAGGGGCAGTGAGGTGCAGCGAGGGGCAGTGAGGTGCAGCGAGGGGCAGTGAGGTGCAGCGAGGGGCAGTGAGGTGCAGCGAGGGGCAGTGAGGTGCAGCGAGGGGCAGTGAGGTGCAGCGAGGGGCAGTGAGGTGCAGCGAGGGGCAGTGAGGTGCAGCGAGGGGCAGTGAGGTGCAGCGAGGGGCAGTGAGGTGCAGCGAGGGGCAGTGAGGTGCAGCGAGGGGCAGTGAGGTGCAGCGAGGGGCAGTGAGGTGCAGCGAGGGGCAGTGAGGTGCAGCGAGGGGCAGTGAGGTGCAGCGAGGGGCAGTGAGGTGCAGCGAGGGGCAGTGAGGTGCAGCGAGGGGCAGTGAGGTGCAGCGAGGGGCAGTGAGGTGCAGCGAGGGGCAGTGAGGTGCAGCGAGGGGCAGTGAGGTGCAGCGAGGGGCAGTGAGGTGCAGCGAGGGGCAGTGAGGTGCAGCGAGGGGCAGTGAGGTGCAGCGAGGGGCAGTGAGGTGCAGCGAGGGGCAGTGAGGTGCAGCGAGGGGCAGTGAGGTGCAGCGAGGGGCAGTGAGGTGCAGCGAGGGGCAGTGAGGTGCAGCGAGGGGCAGTGAGGTGCAGCGAGGGGCAGTGAGGTGCAGCGAGGGGCAGTGAGGTGCAGCGAGGGGCAGTGAGGTGCAGCGAGGGGCAGTGAGGTGCAGCGAGGGGCAGTGAGGTGCAGCGAGGGGCAGTGAGGTGCAGCGAGGGGCAGTGAGGTGCAGCGAGGGGCAGTGAGGTGCAGCGAGGGGCAGTGAGGTGCACTGGGAACATGGGGGATACATGAAGGACAAGCGTCACAGTCACTCACAGGTGAATCACTTTGGGGCCGAATGCGGGCACTGTCCCAGTCAGCTGGTTGCTGGTGACGTCAAAGTAGGTGAGCTGCCCGAGAGCGCTGATCTGCGAGTGGGGCGATGAGGAGGTGATGAAGAGGATGATGAGAAGAGAGATAGAAAGGTGAAAGTAGTTGCGACCAGCCCAAAACAAAACGCTATTACCAACAAATGGGTGAAGGCGGGAACCATCTCGGTAAATGGGTGAAGCCCATCCAGGTAATAAAAGTAGTGTTTTGCGACGTCTCAAAACAAAACGCTACTTTTGTCTCAAGGCGGGCACCATCTCGGAGGTTGAAGCGACCCGGATGTGGAGGCGACTCAGATGTTGAAGCCACCCACTCAGGCTATGATGTGACACAGAGCGTGAAGGGACTCGGATTGTGAGGCGACTCAGAACTACACTCACCTCTGAGGGGAATGGATGATTCCTCTTGTGGATTGGTTGGTGTTCAGATCGAGCATCTGAACGCAGGTCAGTGCCGGGCCAGTGTTGACTTCTGAGGTGCCTCAAGAGACCCTTGAGGCGCCTCGAAAGGCATGGACTCACCTCTGTGGGAATGTGTTTTGTGAAACTGTTGGTGTTCAGATCGAGCATCTGAAGGCCTGTCAGTGCCGCAAGTGTTGTTGGGAGCGAATCCGTGAAGCTACACCCAGAGAGAGCCCTGCTAGGGAGGCGAGGGGAGGGCACAGCAGAGGAGCGTGAAAGGATGGGATTTCAAGAGGTGCTTGCTATAGGTGACGTTTGAGTCGCCTCAAAAGTCAAGAGGTGCTTGCTATAGGTGACGTTTGAGTCGACTCAAAAGTCAAGAGGTGCTTGCTATAGGTGACGTTTGAGTCGCCTCAAAAGTCAAGAGGTGCTTGCTATAGGTGACGTTTGAGTCGCCTCAAAATTCAAGAGGTGCTTGCTATAGGTGACGTTTGAGTCGCCTCAAAAGTCAAGAGGTGCTTGCTATAGGTGACGTTTGAGTCGCCTCAAAAGTCAAGAGGTGCTTGCTATAGGTGACGTTTGAGTCGCCTCAAAAGTCAAGAGGTGCTTGCTATAGGTGACGTTTGAGTCGCCTCAAAAGTCAAGAGGTGCTTGCTATAGGTGACGTTTGAGTCGCCTCAAAAGTCAAGAGGTGCTTGCTATAGGTGACGTTTGAGTCGACTCAAAAGTCAAGAGGTGCTTGCTATAGGTGACGTTTGAGTCGCCTCAAAAGTCAAGAGGTGCTTGCTATAGGTGACGTTTGAGTCGACTCAAAAGTCAAGAGGTGCTTGCTATAGGCATCGAACGATAAAAGGCCGGTCAGCGCAGCCAGTGTTGTTGGGAGTGTATCAGCGAAGATATACCCAGAGAGAGCCCTGCTAGGGAGGCGAGGGGATGGGGCAGCACAGAGGGACAATGTGAAAGGAACGGGGCTTCTAAGAAATGGTTGGTTGCTATTGTGATTCTTGAGTCAACTAAATAATCACCTCGGCAGCACAGAGAGACAGTGTGAAAGGAACGGGTCTTCCAAGAATTAGTCCTATTGTGGAGGGGGCAGCACGAGTGTTGGTTGCTATTGTGTTGCTACCAGTGAACTGCTTGCTATCGGCATCGACCGGCGGCCAATAAGAGGCTGGTCAGTGCAGCCAGTGCCGACGGGAGTGAACCGGGAAACATGCACCCGTACCTGGCTTGGGTCGAGTAAATTATATTTCGGATTGGTCGACCCGACCCGTTGCTGATGTCTACTCCAATTTCTTAATTAAACCTTAAAACCCTGAGCCCGTACCCGGGCTGGGCCGAGCAAATTTATTTCAGGTCGGGTCGACCTGACCCGTTGCTCATGTCATGTCTACTCGTGTTTGCCAATCCGGGGACCCGGTGCTTGTGGTGCCTCTTCACGATTTTTTAGGCACCTCAAAAATCGCTTGTGGTGCCCCTTCTCTTCACGATTCACGCATGGCTTGAACATTCGATTCGAACAAAGCAGGTACAACAGCAGCAGGGGTGATGCGTCTCTCTTCAAACGAGGAAGCAACGGCAGAGAGAGGGTGGGACTAACAGTCTCGTGAGGCTGGTTAGCTGGCCGATGGTGGATGGGAGAGAGCTGGAGTGGTTTTCGTCCAACGAGAGGTCACTGATTTAGATGACTCAGAGATAGGCAGGGAGAGGGTGGGACTAACAGTCTTGTGAGGCTGGTTAGCTGGCCGATGGTGGATGGGAGAGAGCCCGAGAGGTTCTTGTTCAACGAAAGGTCGCTGAACGAGGAATGGGGGGTCGGGGAATAAGTGGGGGTTGGGAGGTGCGGAAGAGGAAAGAGTGTTATGACGTGTAGGGAGGGAGAAACGTTCGGGGAGCCTGGGCAATTGGCCGATGGTGAAGATGTATGGAGCAGTGTGAGCGAGAAGGGGATAGAGACGGAGAGAGGGAATGTATTACAGGGTATTGCATGGCGCAGCCAATGGGTGTTACAGAAGGGCAAGGCTACATGGCGATGGGATGGTGAATTCTTCTTCTTATTCTGGCAATTGGAAGTAAGACAGCTTGTATTGAGGATACTTACATCGATTTACCATGCTCATGCCGAGGAGAATGCTTACAGCAGTTGCAGGGTAGTGAGGTTGAACAGGGAAGCAGGAAGCGTGCCTAAAAGATCCACTTGCTGCAAAATGCTGCGGAAAAGGGAGAGGCGAGAGGAGTTGGAAAGGGTTGAGAGGGTTTGGAAAGACTCCTTGTCACTGGGTGCCTGAAATCCCTACTTGCAGCCCAGTAGCAGAGTTTCAGCGATAACAGTTTCAGCAGTAACAGTTTCAGCGGTTACAATTCCAGCGGTTTCAGTTTCAATGGTAGCAGCAACAGAGGAACATTCCCCTGCCGCTCTCCCCCAAGGCATGGGTCGCTTGCGGTTGCGGCTCCCCAGGCAGTGAAGCAGGGGTACGAGGTGGAAAGGAAGCATTCATGTACCTCACAGCACAGCGCCACACACGGCGCCACTCACAGCGCCACTCACAGCGCCACTCACAGCGCCACTCACAGCGCCACTCACAGCGCCACTCACAGCGCCACTCACAGCGCCACTCACAGCGCCACTCACAGCGCCACTCACAGCGCCACTCACAGCGCCACTCACAGCGCCACTCACAGCGCCACTCACAGCGCCACTCACAGCGCCACTCACAGCGCCACTCACAGCGCCACTCACAGCGCCACTCACAGCGCCACTCACAGCGCCACTCACAGCGCCACTCACAGCGCCACTCACAGCGCCACTCACAGCGCCACTCACAGCGCCACTCACAGCGCCACTCACAGCGCCACTCACAGCGCCACTCACAGCGCCACTCACAGCGCCACTCACAGCGCCACTCACAGCGCCACTCACAGCGCCACTCACAGCGCCACTCACAGCGCCACTCACAGCGCCACTCACAGCGCCACTCACAGCGCCACGCACAGCGCCACTCACAGCGCCACTCACAGCGCCACTCACAGCGCCACTCACAGCGCCACTCACAGCGCCACTCACAGCGCCACTCACAGCGCCACTCACAGCGCCACTCACAGCGCCACTCACAGCGCCACTCACAGCGCCACTCACAGCGCCACTCACAGCGCCACTCACAGCGCCACTCACAGCGCCACTCACAGCGCCACTCACAGCGCCACTCACAGCGCCACTCACAGCGCCACTCACAGCGCCACTCACAGCGCCACTCACAGCGCCACTCACAGCGCCACTCACAGCGCCACTCACAGCGCCACTCACAGCGCCACTCACAGCGCCACTCACAGCGCCACTCACAGCGCCACTCACAGCGCCACTCACAGCGCCACTCACAGCGCCACTCACAGCGCCACTCACAGCGCCACTCACAGCGCCACTCACAGCGCCACTCACAGCGCCACTCACAGCGCCACTCACAGCGCCACTCACAGCGCCACTCACAGCGCCACTCACAGCGCCACTCACAGCGCCACTCACAGCGCCACTCACAGCGCCACTCACAGCGCCACTCACAGCGCCACTCACAGCGCCACTCACAGCGCCACTCACAGCGCCACTCACAGCGCCACTCACAGCGCCACTCACAGCGCCACTCACAGCGCCACTCACAGCGCCACTCACAGCGCCACTCACAGCGCCACTCACAGCGCCACTCACAGCGCCACTCACAGCGCCACTCACAGCGCCACTCACAGCGCCACTCACAGCGCCACTCACAGCGCCACTCACAGCGCCACTCACAGCGCCACTCACAGCGCCACTCACAGCGCCACTCACAGCGCCACTCACAGCGCCACTCACAGCGCCACTCACAGCGCCACTCACAGCGCCACTCACAGCGCCACTCACAGCGCCACTCACAGCGCCACTCACAGCGCCACTCACAGCGCCACTCACAGCGCCACTCACAGCGCCACTCACAGCGCCACTCACAGCGCCACTCACAGCGCCACGCACAGCGCCACTCACAGCGCCACTCACAGCGCCACGCACAGCGCCACTCACAGCGCCACTCACAGCGCCACTCACAGCGCCACTCACAGCGCCACGCACAGCGCCACTCACAGCGCCACTCACAGCGCCACTCACAGCGCCACTCACAGCGCCACTCACAGCGCCACTCACAGCGCCACTCACAGCGCCACTCACAGCGCCACTCACAGCGCCACTCACAGCGCCACTCACAGCGCCACTCACAGCGCCACTCACAGCGCCACTCACAGCGCCACTCACAGCGCCACTCACAGCGCCACTCACAGCGCCACTCACAGCGCCACTCACAGCGCCACTCACAGCGCCACTCACAGCGCCACTCACAGCGCCACTCACAGCGCCACTCACAGCGCCACTCACAGCGCCACTCACAGCGCCACTCACAGCGCCACTCACAGCGCCACTCACAGCGCCACTCACAGCGCCACTCACAGCGCCACTCACAGCGCCACTCACAGCGCCACTCACAGCGCCACTCACAGCGCCACTCACAGCGCCACTCACAGCGCCACTCACAGCGCCACTCACAGCGCCACTCACAGCGCCCACTCACAGCGCCACTCACAGCGCCACTCACAGCGCCACTCACAGCGCCACTCACAGCGCCACTCACAGCGCCACTCACAGCGCCACTCACAGCGCCACTCACAGCGCCACTCACAGCGCCACTCACAGCGCCACTCACAGCGCCACTCACAGCGCCACTCACAGCGCCACTCACAGCGCCACTCACAGCGCCACTCACAGCGCCACTCACAGCGCCACTTCACAGCGCCACTCACAGCGCCACTCACAGCGCCACTCACAGCGCCACTCACAGCGCCACTCACAGCGCCACTCACAGCGCCACTCACAGCGCCACTCACAGCGCCACTCACAGCGCCACTCACAGCGCACTCACAGCGCCACTCACAGCGCCACTCACAGCGCCACTCACAGCGCCACTCACAGCGCCACTCACAGCGCCACTCACAGCGCCACTCACAGCGCCACTCACAGCGCCACTCACAGCGCCACTCACAGCGCCACTCACAGCGCCACTCACAGCGCCACTCACAGCGCCACTCACAGCGCCACTCACAGCGCCACGCACAGCGCCACTCACAGCGCCACTCACAGCGCCACTCACAGCGCCACTCACAGCGCCACGCACAGCGCCACTCACAGCGCCACTCACAGCGCCACTCACAGCGCCACTCACAGCGCCACTCACAGCGCCACTCACAGCGCCACTCACAGCGCCACTCACAGCGCCACTCACAGCGCCACTCACAGCGCCACTCACAGCGCCACGCACAGCGCCACTCACAGCGCCACTCACAGCGCCACGCACAGCGCCACTCACAGCGCCACTCACAGCGCCACTCACAGCGCCACTCACAGCGCCACTCACAGCGCCACTCACAGCGCCACTCACAGCGCCACTCACAGCGCCACTCACAGCGCCACTCACAGCGCCACTCACAGCGCCACTCACAGCGCCACTCACAGCGCCACTCACAGCGCCACTCACAGCGCCACTCACAGCGCCACTCACAGCGCCACTCACAGCGCCACTCACAGCGCCACTCACAGCGCCACTCACAGCGCCACTCACAGCGCCACTCACAGCGCCACTCACAGCGCCACTCACAGCGCCACTCACAGCGCCACTCACAGCGCCACTCACAGCGCCACTCACAGCGCCACTCACAGCGCCACTCACAGCGCCACTCACAGCGCCACTCACAGCGCCACTCAACAGCGCCACTCACAGCGCCACTCACAGCGCCACTCACAGCGCCACTCACAGCGCCACTCACAGCGCCACTCACAGCGCCACTCACAGCGCCACTCACAGCGCCACTCACAGCGCCACTCACAGCGCCACTCACAGCGCCACTCACAGCGCCACTCACAGCGCCACTCACAGCGCCACTCACAGCGCCACTCACAGCGCCACTCACAGCGCCACTCACAGCGCCACTCACAGCGCCACTCACAAGCGCCACTCACAGCGCCACTCACAGCGCCACTCACAGCGCCACTCACAGCGCCACTCACAGCGCCACTCACAGCGCCACTCACAGCGCCACTCACAGCGCCACTCACAGCGCCACTCACAGCGCCACTCACAGCGCCACACACGGCGCCACTCACAGCGCCACTCACAGCGCCACTCACAGCGCCACTCACAGCGCCACTCACAGCGCCACTCACAGCGCCACTCACAGCGCCACTCACAGCGCCACTCACAGCGCCACTCACAGCGCCACTCACAGCGCCACTCACAGCGCCACTCACAGCGCCACTCACAGCGCCACTCACAGCGCCACGCACAGCGCCACTCACAGCGCCACTCACAGCGCCACTCACAGCGCCACTCACAGCGCCACTCACAGCGCCACTCACAGCGCCACTCACAGCGCCACTCACAGCGCCACTCACAGCGCCACTCACAGCGCCACTCACAGCGCCACGCACAGCGCCACTCACAGCGCCACTCACAGCGCCACGCACAGCGCCACTCACAGCGCCACTCACAGCGCCACTCACAGCGCCACTCACAGCGCCACGCACAGCGCCACTCACAGCGCCACTCACAGCGCCACTCACAGCGCCACTCACAGCGCCACTCACAGCGCCACTCACAGCGCCACTCACAGCGCCACTCACAGCGCCACTCACAGCGCCACTCACAGCGCCACTCACAGCGCCACTCACAGCGCCACTCACAGCGCCACGCACAGCGCCACTCACAGCGCCACTCACAGCGCCACTCACAGCGCCACTCACAGCGCCACTCACAGCGCCACTCACAGCGCCACTCACAGCGCCACTCACAGCGCCACTCACAGCGCCACTCACAGCGCCACTCACAGCGCCACTCACAGCGCCACTCACAGCGCCACTCACAGCGCCACTCACAGCGCCACTCACAGCGCCACTCACAGCGCCACTCACAGCGCCACTCACAGCGCCACTCACAGCGCCACTCACAGCGCCACTCACAGCGCCACTCACAGCGCCACTCACAGCGCCACTCACAGCGCCACTCACAGCGCCACCACACGCACAGCGCCACTCACAGCGCCACTCACAGCGCCACTCACAGCGCCACTCACAGCGCCACTCACAGCGCCACTCACAGCGCCACTCACAGCGCCACTCACAGCGCCACTCACAGCGCCACTCACAGCGCCACTCACAGCGCCACTCACAGCGCCACTCACAGCGCCACTCACAGCGCCACTCACAGCGCCACTCACAGCGCCACTCACAGCGCCACTCACAGCGCCACTCACAGCGCCACTCACAGCGCCACTCACAGCGCCACTCACAGCGCCACTCACAGCGCCACTCACAGCGCCACTCACAGCGCCACTCACAGCGCCACTCACAGCGCCACTCACAGCGCCACTCACAGCGCCACTCACAGCGCCACTCACAGCGCCACTCACAGCGCCACTCACAGCGCCACTCACAGCGCCACTCACAGCGCCACTCACAGCGCCACTCACAGCGCCACTCACAGCGCCACTCACAGCGCCACTCACAGCGCCACTCACAGCGCCACTCACAGCGCCACTCACAGCGCCACTCACAGCGCCACTCACAGCGCCACTCACAGCGCCACTCACAGCGCCACTCACAGCGCCACTCACAGCGCCACTCACAGCGCCACTCACAGCGCCACTCACAGCGCCACTCACAGCGCCACTCACAGCGCCACTCACAGCGCCACTCACAGCGCCACTCACAGCGCCACTCACAGCGCCACTCACAGCGCCACTCACAGCGCCACTCACAGCGCCACTCACAGCGCCACTCACAGCGCCACTCACAGCGCCACTCACAGCGCCACTCACAGCGCCACTCACAGCGCCACTCACAGCGCCACTCACAGCGCCACTCACAGCGCCACTCACAGCGCCACTCACAGCGCCACTCACGGCGCCACTCACAGCGCCACTCACAGCGCCACTCACAGCGCCACTCACAGCGCCACTCACAGCGCCACTCACAGCGCCACTCACAGCGCCACTCACAGCGCCACTCACAGCGCCACTCACAGCGCCACTCACAGCGCCACTCACAGCGCCACTCACAGCGCCACTCACAGCGCCACTCACAGCGCCACTCACAGCGCCACTCACAGCGCCACTCACAGCGCCACTCACAGCGCCACTCACAGCGCCACTCACAGCGCCACTCACAGCGCCACTCACAGCGCCACTCACAGCGCCACTCACAGCGAAGTGACGACAGTTAGGTTGCTGGCAGAATCTTGCGCAGGCGCGCACAGCACTCCCCGCCACACCGCCCCCCCGCCAGTGCCACAGGGGTCGTTGCCCGTCCAGGTTCTGAAAACGCGGGTTTGAGCACCGAGTGAATCAGCGATGTTGGTGAGGATGGCGACTGGTGGAGGGGGAGGGGAGGGAGAAGGGGCAGGGGAGCAGGGGAGCCGGGGAGCAGGGGAACAGGGGAACAGGGGAACAGGGGAACAGGGGAGCAGGGGAACAGGGGAGCAGGGGAACAGGGGAGCAGGGGAGCAGGGGAGCAGGGGAACAGGGGAACAGGGGAGCAGGGGAAGTGAGATACATGCAAGCACGGCAGCTTTGGTGGCAGCACCGCTGCTGCCTGACCCCACCGGAGTGGGTTCCAGCCCAGGCAGGCAGTGAAGTCGGGAGTACCAGCGCCTAGCGATGCTGCGACGGTGGGAGGAAGGCGAATGAAGAATGGGGAGTGGTGGATGGGAGCGGGGGTGCAGGGAGAAGGAGCAGGGGTGCAAGGGAACAGGGGAGCAGGGAGCAGAACCAGGGGAGCAAGGAGCAGAAGCAGGGGAGCAAGGAGTAGGAGGGAAGCAAGGGAACAGGGGAGCAAGGGAGCAGGAGCAGGGGATCAAGGGAAGAGGAAAAAGGGAGGAGGGAGAAGGCGCAGGGGAGCAGGGAGAGCAGGAAGTGAGGCACAGATGAACACAACACTCTTGTTTCCTGGCTCGGTGCTCCACCGCACAGCACTCACGAGCACCGGGCTCCACCGCAAAGTACTCACGGGCACGAGGCTCCACCGCACAGCACTCCACGGGCACGGCACTCCACCGCACAGCAATCCACGGGCATGGCGCACTACCGCACAGCACCCACGGCCACGGCGCTCCACCGCTGCTGGTTGGTGTGCGCCGTGGTATCCGACTTATCAGTAGACTAGAAGAGCCACCGCCACTGCCACTGCCACTGCCACTGCCATTGCTACTGCTACAAACAAACCACCACCACTCCTACCTTGATTTTGGTCCGTTGCTCCTTCGCACGAGCGCGAGAAGACTGCCAGAAGGAGCGAAGCAGCGAGAACCGCGCCGCACGCGCCGCGTCGACCGCGACTCGAAGTAGCAGCACCACCGCTGACGGCACTGGCAGTGGCTGACGCCGCGGTGGTAGTAAGAGCGACGGCACCACGCATATCGCGTCGAATGGCGCAGCTTCGACGGTCGAATTCGACGGTGGCCTTCCCGAGGTTCGGCTGCTCCCACGAGACATTTGCGACATTCGCGATATTCACGGCATTCGCAGCAAGCTGAATCCGACGGCGCGTTCCCCCCATGATGGGGCTGGAGTGGCTTGGGCCGTAACCAGATTCAAAAGCAGAGAAGAAGCAAGCTGATTTTTTCGCGGTAGCGGGGAGAACTAGCGAGCAGAGGGACTTGGCGCGGGGAGTCAGCGAGGGGAGGGGCTCGGCGCGAAGGGATCCGGAGAAGCTGGTACGACGAGAGAGTTTTGAAGAGTCAAAAGTTGATGATTGAATACCCTCCGATTGTAAAGTTCTGAAAGAAGATGCGACGTACTAACAAAACGATATGAGGCGCCTCGGGAATCGTGAAGAACTTCTCAACTATTTTAAACAAGCCGGCGAAAAAATGAGAGAAAATTCGGCTCCATGCTACGAGGAAAAATCAAAATATGAGAAGCACGAAGGCAGATGTTACGAGTTCTGGGTCGAATTAGCAGGTCGCTGTTACTAGCGTCAAGCACCTGCCTAACCGTGTGGGTTAACCACTGTATTGCTTGCACGTGACTTGATACGCGTCCTAGTAGAGTAAATAATTGCCGGAGTGCGGGCACTACGCAGTTGCATCGTCCCCTGCTCCGCTCGGGGGCCACCGACGCAGCTGCGACGCATGTTTGTTCGCCATAAAACGCCATGGAACTTGTTGTTTGGAATGAGAGAATGAGAAATGTCATGACATTCTTCTGGGATGTTGAGAATGCACTTCGCGTGACAGAGCGGTTTGATACGATGCCGGGTCTAAGAAAGCGGCTCATTTACATTCTAGAACTCTGCCACGCATACCTGAATTCGAACCCATTCCCTGGAGGTTGGAGGAGTGGGGGAAGGGGAGGAGAGGGGAGTAGGGAGGGAGGTGGAAAGAGGCGTAGGGGGGGGTTGAAGAATCAAGAAGCAGGAAAGATTGGAGTGGGAAGAAGGGGAGCGGAACAGGAGGGAGTGCGGAGGGTGAAGCTTTCTAGGTTCCGCTGCTCGAGTCGCAATGGCGAGAAACGCGTTCTGGAGATGGGGTTTCGCGTCCTGACCAATCATGAACGAGTCAATCTACCAGTAGTCGTTGAAGGCACTGTACAATTATTATCTGACAGGTCAATTGCTGGGCTGGAGAAAATCTGTCGTAAGCCCTCGGATTAGTGTGCACACAATCTTGAGTCTAGAAAATGCGCTTGAGTTCCACAATTATGCGTGTTTTGAATGTCGAATGCGAACGTTCGTCGCCCTGCCCGATACAATAATCGTATTGACAGAATGATTCAGCGGCTCCTCCCACGCCGTCCATTGCGGAGATTGCCGGGTCGACAGGTAAATGTACAGTCTATATATACACTTCTGAGTGTGATAGAACGGTCATTAAGTTCCTTATGAGCATAAGTGACCAGCAAGAAGAGTTGCTCACAGCTTTAGCAAACAGCTGAATTATTACTAACAGTAGAAGTGCCTTGCTATAAACCATCCCAGCTGCAAATCCTGTTCAAAGGGTTCTCCCTTCCATGTATCTCCTGTGCTGCCTCTGCTTTCCAGTCCTGATTCTGGAGGCCTCAAAACAAGTATTTTCTGTTCGCCCTCAAGCACAACCCCCTCACTCCACTGAAGTCCCTTCATTAGCCTTCCCTTCCTCTTTGTCCTTTGGAATTGGAACACCAGCATCCCCATCAGCAGGTCCAGGGGCACCAGGAGGTTCAGGTGCCTCTGCTTCAGGTGCCTCTGCCTCAAGTGCCCCTGCTTCAGGTGCTCCTTCTTCAGGTGCCCTTGCTTCAGATGCACCCAAAACAGGTCCTTCAGCTTTCAAAGCACTAGGCGCATCCACATCCATGCCCCCTCCACTCGCAGCAGCACCATCACCACCAGAAGAAACAGAACCATCACCAGCATCACCACCAGCACCACCAACAGCATCACCACCAGCAGTAACAGTGGTGGCATCACCAGCAATAGGTGCATCCACACCCATACCTTCACCAGCAACAGCACCTTCATCAGGAGCAGCAGCACCACCACCAGTAGCACCATCACCATCAGCAACAGCACCAGCACCAGTAACAGCAACATCACCACCAGCAGTAGCAACACCACCATCGGCACTAGCTGCAGCACCATCTACAGCAGGAGTTGAAGCACCACCAGCAGCACCAGCGGCAGATGTGGCAGGGATATTGTCTGCTCCCTCTATGCCTACAGCCCCTCCACTTCCAACATCTCCTGCTCCTGCTGCTGCTTCTGCTCCTTCTGCTGCTGCTTCTTTTCCTCCTAATTCTGTTGTCGCTGCTGCACCTGCTCCTGCTGCTCCTGCTTCCTCTGCTGCTGCCACACTTCCATCTCCTTCCACTGGTGCCTTCGCTTCCTTTTGTGGATTTGCCTCGTCCATCTGAGTATCTTCCCCCTCATTAGCAGGAGCAGGAGTTGTAGCAGCAGCAGCAGGAACAGGAGCAGGAATCGTAGCAGCAGCAGGAACAGGAGCAGGATCAGGAGTTGTGGCAGCAGCAGCAGGAACAGGAGCAGGAGCAGGAGCAGCAGCTGGAGCAGGAGCAGAAGCGGGAGAAGCAGTAGCAGGAGCAGTAGAAGGGGCAGCACCACCAGGAGCAGCAGTAGCAACAGCGGCTGCAGCAGCAGGGGCAGCAGAAGAAGCAGGAGGAGCAGCAGAAGCAGCAACAGGAGTAGTGGCAGCAGCAGCAGGAGCAGCAGGGACAGAAGCAGCGGCAGGAGCAGCAGGGGCAGAAGCAGCAGCAGCAGGGGCTGCAGCAGCAGGGGCAGCAGAAGAAGCAGGAGGAGCAGCAGAAGCAGCAACAGGAGCAGCGGCAGGAGCAGCAGGGGCAGCACTCGTTGCAGCTGCGGGTTTGGCTGCTACGGAAGGCTGAGAGGACCCAGGAAGATTAACAATGCTGTTAGGCTTAGAGCCACTCCCATGCACAGCAACCACTGCGGTGCTGAGAGGTTCAGAGGTATGCACCCCCACTTGCACACGTGTATCCACATCAGCTCCTACCTGCAAGCCCGCATGCCCAGTCATCCCCCCGAATTCCATCCCATCCTCCTCCTCCCCCTCTCCTTCCTCCTCCTCTTCATCCTCATACCCCTCCTCTCCCTCCCCCTCCTCCTCCTCATATCCCTCCTCCTCATACTCCTCCTCACCCTCCATTCCCTCCTCATCCTCCTCCTCTTCCTCCTCCTCCATCTCCCCTTCAAACCCAGCACCTGCTAATCCTCCCCTCCCCCCCGCCTCCCCCCAATCCCCCCCGCCTGAACCCCCCTCCCCCCATAACCCTGTCAACATCCGCCATATACTGCCCCAGATCTCTACATCTCCCCCCCATTCCCCCGCCTCCCACTCCCCCCACACCCTCTCCACCCGCTCCCCCTCCCACTCCCTTTCCTCCCGCTCCTGCTCCCACTACCCCTCCTCCCTCGTCCCCTCCTCCTCCTGCTGCTCCCCCACCTGCTTGTGTGCGCCTCTCGTTGTATTCCCTCATCTCTACCACATACCTCTCCCTGTCCCGCTCTGCCTGCTCCTGATAAGGCTGCGGAAGGAAAGGAGGGAGAGTGGTGGGGGGAAGGGTAGGGAAAATTGGAGGTTGGATGGGTGGTTGGTTTGGGGGTAAAGGGAAGGAGGGTGCATCAGAGCGCCTCTCGTTGTATTCCCTCATCTCTGCCACATACCTCCCCCTGTCCCGCTCTGCCTGCTCCTGGTATGGCTGGGGGAGGAAACCGGGGGAGCGTAGGGGGGTGGGGGCTTTGCAGGGAGGGTGCAACAGAGCACCTCTCATTGCATTCCTGTATCTCTGCAACATGTCGCTCTCTGTCCCGCTCTGCTTGACCCTGGTACGGCTGGGGGAACAAGGGAGGCGGAAGGAGAGGTGTGTAGAGGGGGGAGGGGGAAAGAGAGAGGGAAAGAGAGCGAGAGACGGAAAGGGCATGAGGCAGAGAGATCAAAAGAGGGAGAGAGCACAAGAGGGGAGAGCGTTCACGATCCTGTATTGAGAGGAGAGGGAGAGATTGAGAGGAGAGCGCCAACCATCGCTGGCCAATGAGGCGGCCGATGAGGCCCATAAGAAAGAGGGAGAGATTGAAAGACAGAGAAATAGAAGAGAGGGGAACTCACGATCCTGTCTTGAGGAGAAAGGGCCATCCATCGCTGGCCAATGAGGCGGCTGATCTCACGATCGGGCATGTCCGGCATATCGGCTTTAAGTTTCATCCGCTGCTCCCCAAAGAAGAAGTTGTACCCCGTGCGGTTCTGCTTCGGCGGCACCACCACCCCCGGCACTCCCCCCGCTGCTGCAGCTAGGAGTTCCGCGCGTCTCCGCCTCTTCCTCCGCCGGCGCCGGCCGTGGGTTTGCGAGCGGATGAGGGCTGAGTCGAGGGAGAAAGCGTTGAGGAGGAAGGAGACGGGCTGGGGAGGGGCGAACGGGGAGGAGGAGGCGGTGGAGGGTGGATGGTAGAGAATCCCGTGCAAAACCTGCCAGGAGAGGTGGGGTGGGAGATGGGGGGAGGGGGGAGAAGGGGTGGGTGGGAGAGTGGGAGAGGGTAAGGCGAGTGCGAAAGGGGGAGGGGGGGGATGAGGAGGAGATGGTAAAAGGTGGGTGGTAGAAATTCTTAAGGGTAAGCCTAGTGAGACAGAGGGGCACTATTGGTCGCCCATCAGCACTCCTGGTCGCCCATCAGCACTCCTGGTCGCCCATCAGCACTCCTGGTCGCCCATCAGCACTCCTGATCACACACCTGGAGACACTTCCAGCTAGACACACCTGGTCGCCCATGGGCACTGTTATGAAATAGGCATTGTCACACTTGGAGAGAATGATGCCTGAATATGGGCGCATGTGAGACACCTGGGCAGTGGGGAAGCTGGCTGGCTAGGCCCACCTGGTCACCCCTTGGCACACCCAGTCACCCATCACCACACCTGGTCGCCCATGGGCACGGTAATGAAGTAGCCGTTGTCACACTTGGAGCGGATGATGCCTGAGATGTTGCGCCCTATGTTCGCCAGCTGGGGCGCTGGCGAGGGGGACAGGGGAGGGAAGGCAATGCGGGGAGAAAGGGCAAATAGGGGGAAAGAGTGGAGCGGATGATGCCTGAGATGTTGCGCCCTATGTTCGCCAGCTGGGGTGCTGGTGTGGTGAAGGGAGGAGTGTGGATCGGGTATCGGACGGACAGGGAAGCGAAAAGGGAGAGAAAGGGTGGGGGAAGGGCGAATGGTGCATAACAGAGAGTAAGTACTTGGCGAAAGGAAGGTGTTGACGGGGTGGGGGGTACTTACGGGGAGGTGCTTCAAAGCCTTGCATCCTGCGTGCACCACGCTTGCGAGGGAAGTGGGTGAGAGCTGCACACACACACACGCACACACACATACACGGGCGCGCGCGCGCGCGCGCGCACACACACACACACACACACACACACACACACAACGGCGAGAGGGGGCAGTATGGTAAGAGAGAGTGAGGGAGGCACAAGTGAGGGAGGCACAAGTGAGGGAGGCACAAGTGAGGGAGGTACAAGTGAGGGAGGCACAAGTGAGGGAGGCACAAGTGGTCCCTGGCGGTTGAAGGAGTAGGCTCATGTGGAACTTGTGAAGGATGTAGGAGGCGCTGCGCTGGTGGTGATGGCGTGCAGAGCACAACCGGGGGTGGGGGGGGATGGGGGTGGTGGCGGGGGAAGCGGAACTCACGAGGGGGAGGCACCAGAGGCCCTTGACGATGAAAGAAGTAAGCCTGTTCGAAGTGGTGCAGCAGGTTGATGTAGAACTTTCGAAGGACGTAAGAGGCGCTGGTGGTGGTGGGGGGGAAGTCGAATGGGATCGTCACGTCCCTCCACTTGCGATCCGCTATCACCTGTACGGGGCAACAAGGGGAACGGGAGGAGGAGGTGGCGATTATAAGTCTGCTTCTCACCCTCACCAGACTTCATCTGCTTCAAGGTGAAAATTCAACTTTTGTGAAAATTCACAAGCATTGCACATCTTCCTATCAGCATGCATGAGTAAACCTGCAACACTTATCACTGCATCGATTTTCACCTGCATTATATCGCCTGCACCAACTTTCACCGATCCCCACCCCTCCTCACCTGCATCAACCCCCCTCGGCCTGTCACTTCACGGTACAGCAGGTGCAGGTCCAGCTCCCTCCCTCCCATCTTAATGAGTATCGTATGCACCAGTCTCCACCGGTTCCCACCGTTCCTCACCTGCATCAAGCCCCCTCTGCCCGTCACTTCACGGTACAGCAGGTGCAGGTCCAGCTCCCTCCCTCCCATCTGTGGGATCCTGCAGGCAACAGGGAGAAGCGATAGGAGGAAGAATCAATCCGTGGACGTTTCAAATCATGACTGCCCCAGAATCCAGCTTGACACGTCAGCAGAATCCAGCTCACCTCAACGACCCTCCCATCTGGTTGTGAAACCGCGCGAGCAAGTCGAGGAACAGCACGCGATCCCCCAGAATCGCCTCGTGCGTCGCTAACGGCTGCGGATAGTGGTCTACCGGCCCGCCGGCTGAACCAGCGAAACCTGCCGGCGCCGTCATCGCTGCTGACGTGGCTCCCGGCGCTTGTGGAAGTGGTGGCACGGGCGAGGCCATGTCGGCTAAATTTTACAGGGTAAGAACTGGTTTCTCAACGGTTGTAAGCTGTTGTTAGCTGTTCTGAAGGGATGGCAGAAGAGAACGTCGAGCAGCCAGGATAGCGTCGAAGAGCGGTTCACGAAACACAGGAAAGTAGCGTTTTTTTCTTATATGTTAATTTGCCACGACACAGGAGAACCTTGAGGTTGCCTGGCCAACTTAGGTTCCTAGATCCACGCAGGCACTTCGACCTCTGATACCGTATCTTTCAAGCTGCTCAGTACTGCAGCTGATCTCTCTCCCTCGATTGCAATGTGGTTGTTCCCTCGCCCTCGACGATCGCTGCGAGAGGAGAGCAGCGAAAAGAGCTATATTGAATGGAATCAGCAGCGTTCAAAAAAATCTTAACTTCTACTCGTTTGACTCGCAGCGTCGTCATTTAGGCAGCGCGTTATGCAAAACATTCGCCGTGATTACTAAATGCTACTCTTCAGCTGGGCTCACTTCACTGTGACCGTTTAGGTTGGAAAATGTTTTCTATGGCGTAAGGAAGCTGAATTGAAGAAGTCTTGAGAGTGTTGCATTGTGCTTGCCTAGTGTGGGCCAGGAAAACCAAGTCCCAGGCTTTGCCTATTCACTATTACATCAAGCGGAACAAATTTCGAGGGGGTGTGCTGGTTCAGTAAAGCCAATCGAATGATTCCGTATCAAGGACACCATCCTCAAAGTTCTCGACGTGTCATTGCCACGTCAACACTCTAGGGCAATCCCAAAAGCCATCAGCTTTCCACATCCCCACCGTTCATTTCACAGAGCAGTTCGCAATCCGTCACATCCGTTTCAGAGACCTCTCATCCATGCTTGTCATCCTTTGAAACCGTACAAGAACGAACTACTTTGTACGTTACCGCTCTGAACCATATTAAACTCGACTTCCCAATCACGTTTCGGCCCTGAGACCAATTGTTGTGAGAATCGATTTTAGCCTAAGATAGTCTGGTTTTAGTTACAGAAAACTAGACCTCCGATTGGTCCGTTCCCCTAGTCTAACCATTGCAGCTTTTTGCTTCTTTGGTAGTGTTGCTCCCGACTGTAAGCTGAACCCCTCAGGTTGCGTGCACGTCTTTCCTGGTTTAGCAGCAAGCATCAAAATCCAGGATGGATAAGATTTTCGGACCCGCGTATACCGGCGATCCCGGCGTGCCTCACACTGATAAAGACATTTTCTCCGGCATTTTCTGGGGAGCCGTCGGGTTTTCGCTCTACTCGGTAGCCGATCCATACTACTGGCAGCACTCAACGGAGCACAAGTAAGTAAATCGAGTCCGTTCATCTCGATAGCCGATACGTATCACAGCCACCAGACGAGCATGTCACTGGAAAATGAACCCTTGACACAATGTGTTAATGCAGGACCCGTGCGAATTGTCATTTTCATGGTATCGCGGATCACGCTGACCGGGAGTCAGGAAACTAGCGATCTCAGCTTTAGACCGTCCATCCTTTTCCAATCCTTCCGCTTCCATGCCTCCCTTCTTTCCCTTAATGATCCTTCCAGCTGGCACGACATGGCGTACATTCACGAGAACCATCAATTCAAGAAGGCGTGCCGGCAGAGAAAGCCTTATGAGCCTAAGGTGCGTGTCTATAGTACGCTTCCCTTGTGCCTCCGCGAGGCTTCAGCTGGAATGGATGCCTCGAGTCAATTCTGTTGCTGCCTGTGCTATGCTCCCTAAAGCTTTTCTCGATGTTTGCCGTACTCTTTGCTTGGTACCATTAGCACACGTGGGGATGTGTTTTTTTCTGTGGCTCTGTTGTGCAGTGGAACAAAATGATGTCAAAGGAAGTGAGAGAATCCTACTACAACAACTGGCGTGACTATTTTCCTTGAGTGCATGTGTCTCTGCCGCTGTACTGTAACTAGTCAAATTGTTTTCACCCTTTCAGCTGTACTGCATACTGTAATAACAGGGCGTCACCAAATCCTAAGACTCTGACTACTGCAGCTTGATTGCACATGAAACCTTCTACTGCAAGATCAGTTGAAACTATGGGTGTACAACACTCAAGCTATCCTTTTGATACATTAGATGTGATACTGCTGTTGGTCAGTCACGAAAGGGTGTCAGTCTTCTGCTGAGAGGATGTACGAGCGTAGCCGGCAGTTCTCAAAACTGAGACAGCAGAGAGGGGGCACAGGGAAAGCATAATTGGCAGGGAAGGGATGGGAAAGAGAGAAATAGACCCATGATGAATGGCAAACTTTCACGTGCCTCAGAAACATAAGTACTAGGGAGAAAATGGGGAGCAACATCACATCCACATGGCTTGCCTCAGGTACCGTAGCACTGGGGGATTTGGGATAGAGGTTGAGTAACAGGTGCACTCACTAGACAAGTTTGTTTTCGGGCCGTAGGTGCGGGGGCAGGCCAACAGTCGCGAAGGCATGGAGGAAACCGCTGTGTGAGACGACTGCTATGGATTGCTCCTTGAGCCCGAGAAGCCTGAGGGGAGGGGAGGGGAGGGAAGGAGAGAGAGAGAGGCGAAGAAACGGGTGGGGTGAAGATGGGGGTCGCAAAACAGGGAACGGAAAGAGTGGGAGGTACATAAGTGTGGAGGAAGCAGGAAATAGTGATTGTGAGGGAAGATGTGACCTGGGATGGGATGTAAGCAGCCAATGTTCTGAGACGTCGTGAAACAAGAAGCACCCTGAGACTTGTGAAAACGCTGCTGCTGCTCGTAGTATACTGGCAGCATGACTATCACAGGCTTGAGAACGATGGTGAGAAGCGATATAAAGTGCCCCATGGGACAAGATCCTATACTATAAGTGAAGGCACAAGGTCCTGGGAGTCAGACAAGCGCACCATGCGGCGAGATCAGTGGCCCGTTGCGCAATCTCCTCGCGAGTCTCCCTGGGCTCCACCTTCCACACCACATCCTCGTCATCCGTGATCTGCAGTGCGGTGTAGTGTGGTGTAGTGCGGTGTGGGATGGTGTGGTGTGGCACACACACATGTAGATGAGATGTAGATGACCATTTAAGAGGGCGTTGATTTCATGCATATCCTCCATACCACTGCCCAGAATAACACAAAGCAACCGGCTAGCACAACACCACACTGCGGATCCATGCAGCACCGCACCGCACCGCACCACGCCTAGAACACAGCCTGCACCGCACCTGACTGAAGTCCACAGAGGGAAAGAGGCCCTTCTTCTCTCTGATTGGCCGGCGCTTGTCGCACACATGCACGTGCTGTGTGGGAGGGAGGCATGACAGGTAGACACGGGGATGCAATATCAGAAAATCAGGAAGAAGGGAGAGAGAACGGAGGGGTGGCAGGCTCATGTTGTGTGAGGGATTTTAGACACCTGGAGTGGAGGAAGGGAAAGGGAAAGGGAAAGGGAGGGGTAGTAAGGGGCATGGACAAGGAGATGTGCGCGCATGCTTTTCTCTGATTGGCCAACGCTTGGTCACATCACACACATGCTCATGCTTCTCCCTGTGCTGTGCGCCTATTACCCCGCACGCCGCACTCACGAAACCACACTCCTCCTTACTCCGTGGCACTCATAGGCCCTCACACTCTACACGCATTTCAGTCACTGGCCGCCACTCACTCAGCTCAGCTCAGCTCACCAGCGTTTCTCTGCACAGCTCGTTGGCCAGAATGTGTGCTGGCAGCGTTGTGGTAACCTGGTTACCACCTTCGGTTGTCACAAGAGCCGTCACAACAGTCGCAGGCACTGTCACTTCCACCCCATTGGTTCCTGCTGTGCACCCGTCCATAACGGGAAGGTTCTTGGAAGCTGCATCTTTTGGGGGGAGGTCGACTGGAATTGCCGCGTTAGGAGGGCCAAATGCGCCCACTGCAGTTTGCAGTGTGCTGATCAAGGGGAGGGAGGGAAAGAGGAGAGCAAAGGGAACTGTGAGTGAGGGTGGAAAAGGGCCGTTTTTTCTCCGCATCAGGGGAGAAATGAGCACAGTGCGGAGCAGTGAGGACAAGTGTTGACCTATATCAGCAGGGGAGACGGACCAGTGAGAGGACACAACTTACCGCAGCAGGGGAGAGACGACTATCAGGTCAGCAGGGAAGCCTGGAGGAGGGTTGGCCGCTACTTGCCTGCGCAGCTCTGCTACCTGTGGTGTGGTGGTTGGAGCAAATGGGGGAGGCTTGAAGCGATATCAATTGCTGGAAATTAAGCGGAGTGAAACAGAAATGAAGAAAGACAATTTAGGAAGAAACAAAGTTGTTCTACAGAATCAGACCTGCTCAAATCCCTGAGTGCTGAGCGGGCAGTCGAGGTACTTTTCGAGCTTGTACTGCTCCGTGTCCATCACCAGATTGTGCACTGCCTGCCCGTGACGAATCTGCCCACAGAAAGAGCGATAGAGAGCGGATGTTTTGGAGATTGAGCAGGTCAAACCGTCACAGGTTAAATAGAAGGTAAGAAATATGGGATTGAGATTGGACAATGTTGGTGAGATGCTGAGATTGTGCAATGTCACTGAAGTGGAGGCGTGTGAAAAACGTCACTGAAGGCGTGTCACTGAAGTGAGAAGGCGAGAATGTGCAATGTAAGTGACATGGTGAGCTAAAGCAATGTAAGTTGATTATAAGTTTGTGCACTGACAGAAAGCCGCAAGGTTGTATATGCTGGATGGGACGGTAAATAGCTCGTCTACGAGCTCCTTGAGTCATGGAAGCTCCGTAACTCTGAAAAGGGGAGAATTGAACGCAACCTAACTGGGTGCGTTTTACGGCTCTAAAAGTGCGCTCTTCTCAAGACTCCAAGCGCCTCTGAGCCTTACAACAAATTATAGCACATTGATTACGTCTCGAAACGAAACGGTCAACGGCAATCTCCAAAAAAAATACTGACTGAGACAATCTTTTTGTTTTTCTTCCAGCAAGGATTTATGTAGCGTGCATTGAGATCAGATTCATGTAGCTTTCATTAAGATCAGAAAAGGGTATTGGCTACAGGCGAAGCATAGGGGAAAAAATTCAGGGTTAGAACGAACCAGGTGAATGACCTTCGATCGCGGTTTCGTCGTGTCGCCGTCTTTGCACGATGCAGCAACGGCTGGGTCCGTAAGCGGAGTTAGATTCCATTTCAATGTCGCCATTCTTCGTAAAACGAACCAGGTGAATGACAGTCTATAATTAAACAGGACGATCAGAAAATATGGAAACGACGGCAATGTCGCTTGATACTAACACAGTTACTTAAACAGTGTCTTGGCAGTCACCTGACACGGTCAGGCTAAGTCAGCTACTCACTCACGTCTCAGTAGTTCACGTAGCCACCGAACACGGTCAGGCTTGCTCCGAGCAGCTACTTGCTCATGTCTCAGCCTGACTCTCCCCTCACTACTTGTCCCGCTCCCAAGAGCTGCTATGGTGCTCCGCCTGGGTAGGCTTGGACTTCTGTGTCTGAACTGAATATTTCAAACCGACAAATGACTCCACCCTGGGAAAAAATCCTCGGTATTGCCAAAGACTGTTCGATGAGCAGTGATGGTTCTGCGGTTCATCGGAACCAGTTTTACTACCGTATCTTACCGCCTTGGAAGGTAAGGAACCGAACAAAAATGTGCATATGGGCTCAAAACTATTTCCTGTATGTGCGTGTCTATAACATGAAAATGTTTTCAAGAAGAGGATCAGCAATGCAATGCAACACAACCATTAGTGAGGTTGCCTGGCCCTGTTTAGTTGTAGAATTCTCTTACCGTAATACGCATTACCACAACACGAGGTAAGCCATGTCAAGCCACTGGTACCGGCACCACAAGAAATTCCACTTCATGTAGTGCCATCAAACATAATCACAGAAAATGTGCCACGTTTCTGAGCTTTGCAGCGTTTCCTCCTGTAACCATGCATGCGCGCACTGCAGCCTCTTTAATATCCTCCTCGTTATCCGTCACACGGCCCAGCTTGCAGCTGCATTGATCAGCCCGGAGGCAGGGTTGGGAAAGTAAGGGGGAGGGGAAGGGGGGGGGGGGGGGGGGGGGGGGGGGGGGGGGTGGGTAAGGGGGAGGAGGTTAGGTCAGGGAAAAGAGAGGATTGGTCAGGGGAAAGAGATCATGACAGCAGCGCGAGATTGTTATTGAATTAGTTTAATTCGACTTGACAATCAAGGTCAAGAAATTGGAAAACGCGCGTGCACGCACGCATGCGCAAGCGCGCGAGAACACACACACACACACACACACACACACACAGTCGAGCCTCCTCTCAAGATCACGACACCCAAACAGAACAATAATTTTGAAACCGAGAGGTAATTGTTAGAGCTTTCAAGGAATTTTGCAGCCAGCACACAGGCACACCAGCACGCATGGGTCACACCTCTTTTGGTAGTGCTGCAGCAGAGCAAGCGTCTCGTCGACAGTGAAGCGCGGCACGTTCAACCGCACGCCCTTAGGCACCCCCGGCAGCACCGCAGGGAGCTTCCCCACTGTTATGGACTCGGAGAACGCAGCCGCCATTGGCTTCTAAAGACCGGAAGGCGTTGACCTGTGCAGCATAAGAGGGGTGGAGATTGGAAAACGTTGTCGGAGTGTCTGACTGAAGCAGCATTAGCAGCAGCACGGCAGGCAGCCTCCCCACTGCTATGGACTCGGAAAACGCAGCCGCCATGATGCCACTGCCTTGCAAGGGACGGAAGGCGGTCACCTGAGGAAAGAGGAAGAGGGCGGTTGGAGTATGGGAGGATCGATGGAGTACAAAAGGAAGAAAGATAAAGGGTGTGACTCAAGCAGCACAGCAGGCAGCCTCCCTACTGCTATGGACTCGGAGAATGCAGCCCATGATGCCACTGCCTCGCAAGGGACTGCCTTATGGAAAAAAAAACCCCACCTTATGGAAAAAAACCCCATGCCCATCAGCACAACATAAGCCAACTCGTAGCCGTGCACCAGCCACCCACTCACCATTCGCATCTCTCCAGCATGGATCTGCCTCCGACTTCTGTCTCCTGTGGACTCAAAGAACCCCGCAAATGTGAACCACGCGTTGAACTGCAGGCACACACAGAGGGCGGAAAGGGGAAAGAAGGCAGGAGAAGGCAGGAGAGCCCATGTAGTGGCAGGGCGGCACACATGTAATTTCAGGCCCATGTTAAACAACACTCATGTGCAAATAATGACAGGCGCCTCACCTCACCCCTCGTCCCTCCCTTCCCCCTCTCCACTCTCCAATCTCTCACCTCATCCACAGCAAACATGGTGGGGACAGAAGTCACTCTTCCCAGCTCCTCCCTCAGCCGAACCACAACACTCGTGGCGGCATGTGAGTGGTCCGCTCCATATTTCACGAGATCTCCTAGCGTCCAATCAGAGCCCGGCAATACGACCTGGCTGCCCCGAGCCAAGCCGATGCCTGGCCCCTCCCCCAGAGTGATTGGTTCGGGCAGCTGAACGGGCAGAGAGGACAAAATGTCCTGGTGGGCAGCAAGGAATGACTGTGGGAGGGTGGCGGTAAGGGGGAGAAAAGGGGAAGATGAATAACAATGCATTCTTGCAGACTTGCATCTGATTAACTCAACAATGGTTCACTTGCTTAATGCCACTCAAATCATCATCAAGTCTACTTGATATACGTATCTACTAAAGTAACTGAAAACGTGCAATTTTGAGAATAATCATCACCTTACCTTGAGTGCTGCTTGTGCTTGTATGGGGGTATCCCAACTCGCCTTCCTTTTCGCTCCAACTCCCTCCTCTCCCCCCTCCGCCCCCCCAGTCTCAGGATGTTTGTAGTACAAGCCGTTATTCGTCCATTCTCTCGCCTTGGGCACATAAAAGACCAACCACCCGTTTGCACGGGCCCAGAGCACAGCGGTCAGCAGGAGACAAGTTTTCCCGCTGCCCGGATGGCCTCGGAGCAGAAACGAGCCAGGGGAGGAATTTATAACCTGCCCTTCAGGGCTGTCGGAAGATTCCACGAGAGCGTTAGAGTATGATGAGCTGGACTGGTGATCTCGGGCAGCTTGAAGCTTGTGGATGAAATCTTTTGTGGCTGCCCGAAGAAGAATGGCACGGGACTTAGAGGCCTCAAACTCTTTTTCCATCGAAGGTGGGAGGCCCTCGGGTAAGTACTGCTGCAAATGCTCCTCACTGTAAAGAGGGTGTGTGGGAGAGAGTGAGTGTGAGGGAATTTGAGAGGGGTGTGAGGGGGTGTGAGAGGGAGTGTGAGGGAATGTGAGAGGGAGTGTGAGGGAATGTGAGAGGGAGTGTGAGGGAATGTGAGAGGGAGTGTGAGGGAATGTGAGAGGGAGTGTGAGGGAATGTGAGAGGGAGTGTGAGGGAATGTGAGAGGGAGTGTGAGGGAATGTGAGAGGGAGTGTGAGGGAATTTGAGAGGAAGTATGAGGGAATGTGAGAGGGAGTGTGAGTGTGTGAGTGGGGATCAAGGAGGAAGGCACCCGGGTGAATATTACTGCAGATGCAGATGCTTATCACTCTAGAGAGAGTAAGGGTGGAGGTTGTGTGAGTGATGCTAACAGCATACCTGAACTTACCTGATGTTTCCTAACCTTACTCAACAGTACTTAACCACCTAACAGTACCTAACCTCACCCAACAATACCGAACCTCACCCATTCTTACCTAAGCTCGAACAGGGTATTCTCTTGAAGGTCCAAAAGATCTTTAGGATGGACCGACATCAACATGACGTCACCTTCCCCCCCTTCTCCCGCATCTCCTGCATTCTCCGCCTCCTTCTTCCCCGCTTGCGCCGATCCCTTTGCGCCGGAGCCGCCGGCCTTCGCGCTCGCCTTGGGTGCATCTGTACTGAACTGCCTCGACCAATCCGCAATTGCCACGCGTCCCTGGGAGGACCCTAAAATCTCCGAAGAACGACAAATCTGAGGTCTGATCGATCGCGATTCGAAGGGGGTATTGGAAGACACTGGAAGCAAATCGCCGAATGGCTTTAAAGCCCGACCTAGAGTCTTCTGATAGTCCTGCGATATTTCCTTAACCACTGATCGTCCTGCGGTCTCTCCCCTGTCATAACAACAATGACGGCTGTCCGTTGATTTTACGACGTCCGGGAAAAGGAAACTGCCGGCCAGGGAAGCTAGCCGGCCGTCGTTGACTCTGCCGTCGGCTCGCGCCGCGGTAGGGTGAAGCCCGGCGGCGCGAATGAGAGGGCGCCACATGGGATCAGGACGTCGAACGCGATCGGCGGACAAATCCGCGGTGCGGAAGAGAGATTCTTGTTGTGCTGATGAAAGAGGTCGATGCTGTGAAGGGAAAGTAGAGTGTTAGAAGATTCTCCGGTAACGCAGAAGAATTGCTGATTTAAGTCGATTAAATGCTTTGTATAAATTCAATACAGCTGTAGTAGATGGTGAGATACACTTTTTGTACAGTTCTCTACAACATTGCTCTACGATTGTCCTCCCACACCGTGTGCACTTTTTGCCCCACTCTACAAACAACCTTGCCCACATTCACTTGGATGCAAAGACCAAGACCACCACACGACGTTTGCAAGCTATGTGCAATGGAGAGTAACTGGTCGAGGTGGTTACCGGCTACCCAGAGCAGGGAGACGTGTGGGCGTGGGTTCTGAAATTCACATATGGACACACAGATATGGTACGTGTGCAAGTGTGAGTAAGAGCAGAAGTGTTTTGATGGGTATGCAGTGCATGTGAGCAGCTCAGGAGAACGAGAGGTAGGTGCAGGGAGGGATGTGGGTTGGCGCATAAGGGGATATGAGAAGGAGAAGCGGTAGGCAAAGGGGAATGAATTTATACTTCAAATTACGGAGGCAAATGAAGAATAGCAAGGGAGGATAATATACATCATAGTACGGAGGAAGGCCGTGAACAGCGTATGCCTGGTCGATGCATTGAACCAGAGAGGCGAACTGGGGATGGGCAGACAGGAAAGTGGTGTGGGAGCGGAGAGAGGAATGTAGAAACCCAGTGGAGGTATGGGGAGTGCTTTATCAGAAAACCGAAGAAGGTTTGGGTAACAAAGTTGTGAGGCACTGTAAAAGGCAAGCTGGCATGGAGCACGTGGGTTAGTGGTGAGAAATGGACGAGGGGAGGTTGCGAACAGAGCGGTGCAGTGAGGGAATGAGGAGTGCTGAGCGTTAGAGGAAAAACAAGGGGTCTGAATCACAAGAGCTACAAAATCAGAACTGAAGAAGGGTCAGGTGAGGGCAGAAAGAGGAGTTCCAATCACACCTCAGGCAGTCCCTCCCGGGCAGCTTCAAGGGCGAGGAAGGAGCGAGTCTTTTCATCGTTAACAAATGCTGTCCACTTGTCCAAATGCATGTGGAAGCTGGTGCCGTGGAAGGGGGAGGAGGGGAGGAGTGAGAGAAAGGGCAAGCAGCGACAGGAACGAGAAGAGAGGGGGAAGGGCAATGGTTGAGTCATCTTGTTGGTAGTAAACGCTGACTTGTCCAATGGCTGAGACGAGAGTTGAAAGAGTGAAAAGAAGAGGGAGGGAGGGAGGGAGGGAGGGAGGGAGGGAGGGAGGGAGGGAGGGAGGGAGGGAGGGAGGGAGGGAGGGAGGGAGGGAGGGAGGGAGGGAGGGAGGGAGGGAGGGAGGGAGTGAGGGAGGGAGGGAGGGAGGGAGGGAGGGAGGGAGGGAGGGAGGGAGGGAGGGAGGGAGGGAAGGAGGGAGGGAGGGAGGGAGGGAGGGAGGGAGGGAGAGAGAGAGCAACAGCAGCAGGATAAACATCATACTACCTTACCGTTTTTGTGGCTTGAGTCGCAAGCGCAGCAGGCTGAGAAGGGAGTCGATCTGATGGAAGCGGATGGGGACAGTGCGAGCAGCCGTCACATGAACCTCCCCTGTGACCAGGGCTTGCACCGCAGCCGCAGTAGTAGCACCACCACCAGCACCAGTAACAGTAGCACCAAAACCAGAAGCAGCAGTAGCAGCACCACCACCAACACCAGTAACAGCAGCTTTGAGTGAGTCCGGGTCCACGGGTGCCAGTGCAGGGATGGCACTGATGGCAGTGCGGAGGTGCGATTGGAGGAGCGGCTGGAGAGAGGCAGGGATGGTGACTGCAGAAGGATATGGGAAGGATGGGGAAGTATGTGAGCAGGTAAATGAAGGGTGGGGCCCGGTTGCGAAGGGGAGGCGTGATTTGAGGAGTGATTGGCGTGTGGAAGTCTGCCAATAGAATAAAGAGAGCGCGTATGAGCAGCGGAGCGGGATGGGTGGAGATGCTGGTTGAGAAGTCAAACAAATCACAAAATTGCTTCAACCGTATAGTTCTGACAGACGAATCGCCAGGAGCCAGCTCGCTCACACTCACCTGGAATGAAGACATGAACGGCGAAGTTGCCCTCAACGTGGGGGAATGTTCGCACTCTCCCTCCGTAATCCGCTTTGACCTTCGGTTTGTTGGCAACCTCACCTGAGCAGAGCACGAGCATGTGGAAATCATGACGGAGGGGTAGCGGGAAGGGGAATGGGGGGAAAAGGGGGGAGGTGGGAAAGCGGAGGAGAGAAAGGAGATTTGTGAAAGAGAGGGAATGTAGGGAAGCATGGTCAGACTTGTAATAAGAGCGGCATGCTGACACGTGTAAAAGGAATGTCTTTGAAAAGTAATAGGCAAGGATGAACAACTGAGATCGGTCAGCCTTGTGCATTAACCCAACCTTGAGGATCAGCGAAAAGGTCATCTGGAGGAGGTGGAAGCAACACTGCTGCTCCTGCTGCTCCTCCTGCTGTTGCTGCTGATGATGATAATGATGATGATGACAGCGAAACTCTTCGAATCTGATCTCTTGAACCAGACTGACTGTCTGCGGACGCCATTTCCTTTCCCTGTTTGCCGCAGATCACAGCTGACGTACTCCTTCGGTCATGCATCCTGTCTGACGAGTTCTGTCTGTCGCTCCTCTCCGCTGACAGATTCCGTCTGTCCGCGTCACAGTCACGCCTATTAGCCGTCTCCAGGGTTCCGGAAACACCGCCATTTCCGTTCCTTTTTGCACCTGTGTATTCGCCTCCTCTTCTATCTTCGACTACTCTCCTGTCGTCTCTCCTCCCTTCGGATTCTTTCTTCACTTCCTCTCCCCGCGCTCCACCGCTCGTCGGTTCTGTTAGATTAATCCGTCGCTTCTTACATAAGGCGTATTCCTTTCCATCATTCACGGTGTTCGCCTCCTTCTCCTCCCGTCTATCTGCAACTTTTGCCTCCTCTCCTCTACCCTTTCTAAGAAACCCGTCTTCCTGTTCCTTATCTTCTTTCAGGGCCTCGTCAAATTCCTCGTCGTCACTTGCATATGCGGCGAAGAGCGCGTCCATGAAGGAATTTGAACTCCTTCCTGACAGGGGTTGCTTGCACTAGTCCCAAGGAGTTCGATACAGACGCGAGTGATGGTTCCCAACAATATCTATGCGTTCAATTGGTATGCCTCTTCTCTTGGTAGAGATCCACTACAGAAAACATGAGCTACCAGAATAAAAAGACGTGAGCTGTGGTATTTGTATATGCAAATCCTTGCTATCTTAGGAAAAGTTGCGTGGCATATTGTACGCACGAGAGGTCTGGGACTTTTTATCATTCCTCTAGAAATTTTAGTTACTACGCATGAGAACTTTATGTTCTGTGTAACAAATTAGATTGGAGAGAAATGCACATCTCGTGTAGAACAATATGAAGAGAGTTGCTGTGATCAATTAGAATTCATTACTGTAGAGGCTGCTTTTAGCGAGGACAGCCCGAACTTCGCGTCAGTTGGGTTCGGCCTACACTCGTCACGCTGTAATTCTCATCCTTTTTATAAAGTCTTCCGCGCACTCTTCTTAGTACAACTCATAACACTTGGTATCAGAGCCTAAGTTCCTAGGTTCCCCGTTTTTTAGAGTGTATTACCCCTCGGGGGGGGGACAGGGAAGGATGCCGTAGTGACAGGAGCAGCGCAAGAGCCGGCCAGGAGAACGGGTAGTTGCTCCTAGCGGCCATGAAATTCAAGTCGCTCCTGCGGCACCGACGGATCCTTGCCCTCGACGGTCGAGATGGACCGTGGCCTCCCTCCCCCCGGGTGGCGGACAGCTTTTGCTGTCGTCGCATTTAATGCGTGAGTTAACAGTATTCGTTTCGGCATTTTCGGAGTTAATTTGTGTGGCAGCTGACGTCGACAGGATCTCCGTCAGTGCACGTCCGAAGATGTCGGAAGCAAGATCGTCGTGCGAGTTGCGTCGGCGTGTGGTCGACAACTGTGCGCGACAATTTCGGAACGGATTGCATGCAGCACGTGGCGTCGAGCATCTTCGTCGCATTGCGCATCAGTCCGTTAGAGGTCTTCGGCAAGTGACGATCGTGGTCACTGTGCGCGAAGATTTCGGGTAGCAGCACGTGGAAAACGACTGCTGTGCGAGCAGCCAGGCGCATGGTGATTTGCGTCAGAAAATGCAACGGCGCGGAGTGACGGCGTGACGACTACCCGAAGAAAGCGGGGGTCTACCGTCGTCCAGCCCGGGTGTGGCCGGTGTGGCTACAGGAGGTTGCGTCGTTGGCGTTTTCGGCAGGAGCGGCACAGTGTGGGACGGAAGTTATTTTCAAACCGCCGAAAAGTTCGGAAAAGGCCGCCTACGACTAGACTGTTTTCGTTAGGGTCACTTCTGCGCCTGCAACAACGTCGGCCGAAATCTTCGGAGCAACAGCAGCAGCCGACACTGTACTTCAGGCGACACAGGTTCCCCCTGATCAAGGGAAGTTGTGCCGCAGACGGGGCAGTACACCGACGAGGACAACGGTTGCCGCAGCGTCTAGACCCGCGAATTTCGCCTGGTCTACCGGCTACAATAAACGGAGTTGCGACAATTACGGGTCTGGCGAGAGAAACGGATTTCGAGCTTCAGGAGGGGAGAAGACGACCTACTGCGACGACTTTTTGCTGAGGCCGAGATTCACGGCTAAGCGGCGGTAGCAGAAGGAGCTCCCTACCGGCCAAAGTCTACCGACGTTTCACATACCTCACGCCCAGAAAGCCTCGAAGGCAAGGTGTAAGTCCTATTGGCCACTGGATCCAAAGGTGGGGCCCTGTGTTTAGCCCTGTGCTGGTTAGAAAGGCGCGGGTGACGCTGGTTCGACGGCAGGGCGTGCAAGAAAAATTCATGGTGCGGCACTGTTTCGGCCCCGACAAAACCGGACCATCGGCAGCAGTTACCCCGCCGAAAAAGTCGGAGCTGAAGCAGTTGGTGCAGCTGTCGGAGTTTCTCCTGATTCAACGGTCTACCCGACGGCGGTGTAGCGGCGAAGAAGGGATTTCCGAAGCTGAGGAGTTTTAAACGCGATAGACGCGGTGGGCAGCGAAGCGGCCGGTCCGACTGTTTGATCCGATAAACATGACCCGGCTACGATAGCGTTCGCGCCTTCACCGAATGTCAGAAAAATCGCGGGCAACAAGAAGTATACCTCATCCGACAAAAGCGAACGCTGGGTGAACGGCGGCAAGCGAAATTGTCGGGGGGTGAAGACACAAAACAAATGGAGGGAAATTTGTGGGTGCTCCAGCAGATCTCCAGAGTGAAAGGTTGAGCCCGTACACCAATCCACCGCGAATTTCGGAGTCTACTCGGTAGACCCCCGAAAGGGTTTGATATTGTTACATGGAGGCGCGGCGAGCGGTGTGCCGCCAAGGATACCTGGGATTCGCTAAGTAATTTCGGCGGGTACGAAGACGGGTGAACGTCGGAGTACCAGGGTCAACGGCGGAAACGTCGGGGTTACGCGGCGGAAAATACTTCGGGACTGCTTCAACAACCATGATTTTCGGGGTTCTTTCCTAGGGTGGGCGACGGGTGAACGTCTGCTCGCCAGCTGTTTCAGGGGTTTTACGGTGTACTTCGAAGCCATCTGGGGAAATTCTTCGGCGAGATCTGCGGCGTCGATGCGGGCTAGGTTCCGTGAAATTCGGTCCCGGTAGACCCATGACTCTGGGTTCCGCACGAAAGAGCACCTCCTGTTGGTGGGTTGCTAGTGTGGTTAACCATGGAGAGAAAAATGGCGACGGGTGGGCACGCTAGATACACCGGTTCTTCAAGGGGATAACCTGCAGGTGACCAAGACGTACAAGGATTTTCGGCACCGACATTTTCGGAGAGTACCGAGTCTCGTTTTTACAAGAATCGGCGGTGACGGCCGACAGTTTTGAAAAACGGTGGAGTTGCAGCGGCGCTGGGATAAGCGCGCGAAACTGCCGTGGTGAACTTCATAGCTGCACAATTTGCAGAGTTTCAGGGGTACCAGCCGCAACACAGTTGGAAATTATGGCAACAGGTGGGGGGAGGAAGGACAGCTTTTTTCGCCTCTGCCCCGAAGTCTCGGCGATCAACGACAAGACTGCCGGAGGTGCTGACGTCACGTGACCCGACCTTCTCGTCAATCGTCGCTGCAGCGCTTTAACGATTTCGCGATTTCGCTGCGACATTTCGACACCGAGCAAAATTGACCCAGGGTCACGACCGAAGGTGTTTCGGATGGTTCTGCAACGGCCCACTTCCGATAAAAGGACAACACGTAATTTTCGGGTGGCAACTGCTGACAGCTGAACATGCTGCAGAATCGAGGAATTTTATTCTGCCACTGCAACAAGACAAGGGCGGGATTTCGGACTGCAAATGCTGCTGCAGCAGTCGCAACAATAGAACAGCAAGAAGATTTTCACCGCGGGAATTCTTCGACGGGCTTCGCCGGAGTTTACCCAGGGATTTTTTAAACAAAGTTTTCGACAGTGGAGATTTCGTCACCGACAACACTTTCGCCTGCGCAGCCGCTAACATTCCGAAGGGGTTCATACACTAGGTATGATTTCCTACACTCGGCGTACAGAGTGGTTTGTGATTTCGTGCCCGTGCAGCTGTGCAGACTTTTGGTGGGCAGTATTTTCAAGGGGGGGGAGAGAGTGCTACCGCACTGTGTCAGTTTCTCTGACAGTTTTCCGTCTGACACATCAAGCATGACGGACGCCCTCGATCCATTTCACCGACATCGACGGTTTCGGTTCGTCAACTTTTGACATGTGTCAGAACTCCCGCCAACTTCGCGTTCATCGGCATCGTCCGTATCGTATCCGCTACATCAACGACTTCGATTCCATCGCGTATTCAGTTCGCCAATTCAATCGAGGTCATCCGATCTACATCTGGGAAATTCAACGGCTGACATTCCAACTTTATTCAATTTCGCCTGGTCAACTGTCAGCCTCGCGTCAGCTCGACGGTCAACGCGCTCTACACCGTCAGATCGGTTTCAACCGAAGATCTGCAGTTTTCACGCTACTGCAAGACTCGGCTTCGTATAAGGGCACCTTATTTAGAAGGTGGGAGAGTGTAATGAATTAGAATTCATTACTGTAGAGGCTGCTCCTAGCGAGGACAGCCCGAACTTCGCGTCAGTTGGGTTCGGCCTACACTTCGGCCCGAACCACTTTCCAAGTCGCTTCCGCACCAATCGCAACACACCCAGCCCTCGCACGTCCCGAGGTCCTCGCCTACCACGGTTTCGACCCTATAAATGCTTGCTTCTTTATCATTCTCGTCACGCTGTAATTCTCATCCTTTTTATAAAGTCTTCCGCGCACTCTTCTTAGTACAACTCATAACAGTTGCGTCATTGTAACAAGGTATTCTCAAACGCTGATGCGGACCCATCCTTTCTCTTCGCCTTCCGCATTTCTGCCACTCCCACAGCACAGCTGTCTATTTATGTCAACGACGATGTGACATCCCGTCAAGAACGGCTATTTTGTCAGATTTCGGAATTTATGTTTGTTCCTTCAGCCGCAATGGGTATTAGCTCAGACCTGTTCCCAGCTAATCGGCGGAGTGGCATTGAGCCTGACAGGAGTACAGGGCTTCCATTAGCGCCGCCTAAACCAAACAAGCAGCCTTATTCCAAGACGCTTTCAACTCCGAAAAGTGTCAATGTTGCGAAGATTCTTGCAGCTGCTCGTAATGAGAGGGACAGCCCTGTTTCTGACAAGGTTTGCTCATCGTTTTGGTTTTTGCTGTCCGTCGCTTTCTTCGTTACACATTTTGCGGCCAACTGAGTAATGTGAATGATGCAGGTGAAAGCAACACTATTTACTAACTCCTCCGAGAAAGGAATCAAAAAGGACATCGTTCCAGAAGTCTTGAAAGGCACGGGCGAGCATCTTGCTGTTCCTGTGTTGGACTCGCTGGCTGGTTCACAACTTATCAGTCATCCAGAAGAAGTTACTTCAACAAAGGATATTCAGGCAGGCTTGAGAGAAATTCCAGCTCAAAACGCTGAACGTGAAATGGCAAATAACAGTTTT